ACAAGGGCAGAAATCCTTGTTGCAATACAAGGAATTCAGATCGCCAACCAGCTTGGGGTGGAGCATCTCCTAGTTGAAGGGGACTCTCAGGTGGTAACAAAGTGGCTCCTAAACTTGGATACCACCATTTGGGGCTACAAAGATCTCATCAAAAAAGTACAGTGGTTAACCAGCAATATGAGAGTTGAGGTAAAACGGGTTAGTAGGTCTGCTAATTCTTTGGCTGATGCTTTAGCCAAACAGGGGGTTTCTAGGGAAGATCTTTTTTGTGCTTCTTTGTAAGTTGTTATTAATTTGGAAATCTGTACTTAACTAGCCCGGAGAGGTTGCAACTCGTGCCTTTCCTTAGGGACTTTGTACTATTGTCTATTGTTGATTAATAAAATCATTTCAATTATCAAAAAAAAAAACAAAAATCTAATCACATTAAAATCTCCGCCAAGACACCAAGCCCCTTCAAGTCCCCTAATGTTAAAAAATTTCCCCCACATCATTTCTCTCTATAAAATACTTTTGAAATGCATCATCTATCTAAGCCTTCTACCGTTAAAATTTCCACAAATTTCCTAATATTTTCATGGCACGTTTCCATTACCACATGTAACGACACAAAATTTTATTGGAATCAACCAAGGTTCAAAGTATTGACACATATCGACCCGTATCAGCCGATACGTAGTGTTCTGAGACCCCTCCGATACACCCCTATAGTGGGTGTAGCGGGGGTCTGACCGGTTCAGGGGGTGGGGACCTAAACCGGCCTTCCTGAACCGGTTTCAGAAAAAAAGAAAAAAAAAACAATATCAATTCACCCGATACGCCCATACCAGCATATCGGGCGTATCGATATTTTGAACCTTGGAATCAACATATTCCCTAGTAAGCACTACCAACACTATGTAGAGTATAAGAGATAGTATTATGACATAAGTTGGTGACAATATTGTTAGATATATGGAGTAGCAATGTTATTGCCCGTCTAGCGTACATGATTACCGCTTTGAGACAGCTTAGGATTCATTTCAAACATAAAATGTTAGTTTTTATTTGTGTTGTAGATTATTTTATATCAATTTTTCTTCATTTTGCATTTTCTATAGGTTTAGTTTTGCTTGAACACATTCTATTATGTAATTTTGGATCTTAAGGTTTGTATAGAACACAGTTCCTCGAGCGTTATGCCCTCTCAAACCTTAAAGGTGAATTTTTCTCAAGATTGGGAACACTTTCCCCCAAGGGTAAATTGGGACTTAGGCTACAAAAGAGGTCAAAGGGAAAACCTATAATGCCTCTCTTATCCAATTACTTGGTCTTTAGGAGACAATGGTCTCAAATCAAAATTTTGAGGATACTAGGATTTTGCTACCCTCACCTGATGGTCTTTTCACCTGCTCCTTTTTCAAAAACCATACTGATGAGGACAGATTTGGCCCTCCATTGACATCATGACACATGGCATCTTAGAACAATTAGGTGACACCCCAGAACCACCTAGGTGACAACTTGCCTTAGCCAAAATGATGGAGTCCCAGCTGGCGACCTGCCTCTGTCGCCGACCTGGCAACCTATCCCCGTCGCCGACCTGGTGACCTAGCAACCTGCCTCCGCCGCCGACCTGGCAACCTGCCTCCACCGCCGACCTAACGACCTGCCTCTACCGCCGACCTGGCGACCTGCCTCCTCCACCGACTTGGTGGAAACCTAGCTAGCAACCTTGTCCACAACTCGGGGCGACTAGTAGCACCTCGTCCATGGCCGACCTGTGGTACCTCGTCAGTACCGACCGAAGCGGCCTCGACATGAGGAGCGACCTCCCTCGAGGGCTTGCCAACCTGATTGAGGTCCAGGAGCGACCTCCCTAAAGGGCATGCATCCCATCACTCCCAAGTCTCTCAGAAGTAGCTCTCACACCAAATGTTTTGGAGGAAACCAAGTAAGGTGCAAAGATTGGCCTATGTGCACGACTACCTCCGAGGACTTTGGAGCAGTTAGGCACGTCTTCCCAGAGATCCCGAACGCGTTGCGTGATGCCCACACCAAACAATGCCTATATAAGGGCCTTACCTCCAACATCAAAAGGGACATGCGCAATTTAGTTCTCGCAGCTCTCTAGCTCTCTTACTTTCATCTCTCACAGAATCTCCACATTCGTTGACTTACGCATCAGAGTGCCCACCCCGGGTAAAGCAGCTCAGGCACTCTAACACTGTTTCCTTGTAGGTCACATCAAAGCCACCTCTCTAGCTCGTCACCAGTCAACCAGGCATCAGAGCCACCTCTCCAACTCATCACCAGTCAACTAGGCATCAAAGCCATCTCTCCAACTCGTCATCGTCCAACTAGGCATCAGAGCCACCTCTCTAGCTCGTCATCATTCAGCTAGGCATCAAGAGCCACCTCTCAAACTCGTCACCATCCAGCTAGGCATCAGAACCACCTCTCTAGCTCGTCACCATTCAGCTAGGCATCAGGAGCCACCTCTCCAACTCGTCACCATCCAGCTAGGCGTTAGAGCCACCTCCCAACTCGTCACCATTCAGCTAGGCGTCCAAGCCACCATCCAGGTGGAAACCACTCAGTTAGGCGTCCAAGCCACATTCCAGGTAGGGGTTATTCAGCTAGGCATCTGAGTCACCAGCTAGCCGGGAGCTACCAAAACGCGCATCATAACTTACCTTGCTTATTTCCTCAAACCTTGACTTCTAGGTGAAAGAGATTTGGAGTAAGCCTATTCCACCTAGAATTTAAGCAATCTATTGGGAAATTTTCCTTGGAAAGATTAATACTTGTGATTTCTTGCAGAAAAGAAGCCCTAACTCTTGCCTTTCTCCTCATATGTTCTTCTCATGTAGGGCTAGTGGTGAAACCCTATCCCATCTATTAATCACCTACTCTTACATGCATTGTACCTGGGAATATTTCTTCTCTTTTTGTTTGCAGGTGGGATCCTCCTCAAGATGCGGTTGGTATCTTTAGTTCTAAATTCTTGAGACAACCAAAGAAAAGAGGGAGGATATTATGGAAAGTAATAAAAGCAGCTATAGTCTGGGTTGTTGAGAAGAGTGTAATGGAAGAATCATCAAGAGGAAGAGTAGATCTTTGGAGGAGGTAATAGACAGCATAAAGATAAAGTCTACACTGGGTGAAAACCTTGGAAAGCTTTCAGAACTTCCCTGTAAATGAAATAATAAGAGCCTGGAATAAGGCGGCACAATCCTCTAGAGTAAAAGACAGGATAAAGATGATATGGAAACCCCTAGAAGGCAACAGGGTAAAACTGAATTTTGATGGAAACTCTTTTGGAAACCCAGGCATGGCGGGAATAGGAGGCGTATTCAGAGATTCCCAAAGCAGGATATTAGCACTATATTCAGGGCATATTGGAATGAAAAACTCTTTAAAAGCTGAACAGATGGTGTTGTTGCAGGATTTAAGATTAGCAAAACAGTTGGACTATAGACAGGTGGAGGTGGAAGGGAACTCCAAGTTAATTATCTCATGGGCAAGTTGCAATAGACACATCCCCTAGACTCTCAAACATGGATTTAGGGAAGTGGAAAGTATTGCAAAGGACCTTAACATTGATTTCAAGTGGGTGAGAAGGACAGCAAATGGGATGGCAGATGCCCCTGTCAAATAAAGGGTTTCAAGGCAGCAACTCTTTTTGGCCTACTATGTAATTCTGTTCTAAAGATGAGTGGACAATCTAGTTAATTGAACGTATTAACTACATTTTATCATTTTAATAAAATTCTTTTCTGCTGATTAAAAAAAAGGTTTATAGGACAACTTCACAACATATTATTTTGTCTATAATCTTAGTTTCCTAGCGTTGTTTAATGATTTGGAACAAGATAATAATTTAGAAAGGTTTCTTTTATCATTTTATAAAACACCATTCTATATTTTTGCATATTAATGTTTCCACCACATCTATGATTTTTACAATATTTCCAACCTTTACGACATGTTTCCTATATTTGGCCGACCGACATTTCCATGGACACCAACATTTTAAACCTTGCTCCCAACTATATGGGGTCGGCTACATGAATCCTATTTCACCATTCCATTCAGTTCAGTGCCATATCCATTGTTAAAATTATGGGCACCTAAATCATTTCTTATTACTTCCACCCAAGTCCTTTTCAGTCTCCCTATAGCTCTTCTAGCCCCTTCAGATTGTAACAGATCACTTTTTCTAACAAGTATTGTAGATGATCCTCTATGCACCATCTACAATTGGTGCATAGAATTGGCAACAAAAAATATCACTTTTTCGAGGTCCTTATATGATGATATACAACATGAGGATACAATTGGCAACAAAAAGATCAGCATATTATGTGATATGTAACCAAATGACTTGGAACTGATTAAAACTTTAAAGCACCATCCAAACAATTAGATGGAACTCCATCTCCATTAAAGGATATGAACAGAAAATTCCTGTCACATGAGTATAAAAATTGAGTGATAATATTAGAAATCTTAGTTATCAGGTTATTGGTGCATGCATACTTCTGAACCAAATTGGAACCCTCTCTCAAAGCATTGCCTAATGCTCGCCATGCTCCTGAAGCAAAGCTTTCCACTGAGTTGTCAAGAACCTTAAGACCCTGCAGGAAGAAAAATCTTAAAACCAGAATATCTTTAAGGAAAAAAAAGTTAAAGGCAAAATCATACTTAATAAAAAAAGACAAGCCAAATAACATCTGGAGAGAATAAAGATGTGCATTGGATAGATGATTTGGTTCAATCGTAGGTTATGAGCTTACACCTACACATTTTAGAGAAAGTCTGTGGTAAAATACCTAATATACTAAATTTAATACTCCCTAAGAGAATAATAATTCATAAACAATACAAACTGAGACTTAAAAGTACTAATATTCCCAGGAAGTATATGGAAAAGAAGTATAACCAGTAAAAGGTTGGCTCATAAATTAACAGAGTAACACAAGCATCAATGCATAATGAAATAAACTGTAGATCATCATCCATAATAGAAGATAAATTAGCAACAAACTTACAAACCTACTTCTGAATTAGAGGAATTACTTACCTGCCCCAGGAAAGAATCCTCACTGGCTTTTTCCAACTTATCAAGAGCAGCCTTCCGCAGTTTGTCATTCTCATCCGCATGTACCCCTTCAATTGCTGAGTCCTCTAATTCTTCTTCCACCTTAGGAGATTCAGAGTCAGGACTAATATTTTGCATATCTGTAATGCCCTTTGTTGCATTCTTAGCAACTGCAACTGCCTGAATTCACAAACCAGAGGTCTATTACTGAAGTATATCATAATGAAAAATCTGAATGCATTTTCATGCTTGAGTATTGAAAAGGACTCAGGTAACACTATAAGAGGAACTTGACCAAACGAAACAAACATTATAAGACCAGGAAAAACTGTAAGAAGCACCGTTGCATCTGGAACCAATATTCAAAATTTTGATACATATCGGACCGTATCAGATGCCAAAAGAAAGAATCAGAGAATCTTGAATGATAATTGTATTAGTTGTATCAGGAGGATTATCTGTGTATTAAGAAAAATAAGATAGACCATGATATAGATGTCAAAAAAACAAAAAGAGATCAGAGAATCTTGAATAATAATTGTATTAGTTGTACCAGAAGGATAATCTAGGTATTTCCAGGCTAGATCTCCACCGTATGCATCAGAATCAGGAACCAAATGGATGGTTCAATACCTGCTATTTTAGCTACCAAGTGCAAAATCTGCAACTAAATGTTGACAGAGACAAACAGTTCAAGAGTACTATTCAGTTTTAGTGCTTTGAGGTCAGGACAGCAATTTTTGGTCTGGTTTACCTCAGAAGATGTAGTTTCTGGACAATTGTGTTACATAAATATCTTTTATGATGGATGAAGATCAGGTTCATAGTTTTCAAGGCATCTAGGCGATTCTGGGCGACACTGGGGCGCCTAGTCGCCTAGGCGATAAAAATTTTATAATATGAAAAACTGACTTTTGGCTAGTTTCCTAGTTTTATATACCATTCAGCATGTATGTTAATTGAAAAATAGCAATTCTCCTTGTTAAGAACATTAAATTTCCTCTAAAAAAGTGGCAAATCATCACATCTAAAAGATAAAAATCTTTTACATATATTAATTTCATTATTTTCAAAAATAATATTACTATAATAAGTATTTAATAGAGCAAATTCATATTAATTAGCAGCTAAAGAAGGTTATTAACTTTATATGATAAATATTCAAGATGGAAAGTAAAATAGAAAAAAAAAACAAGGATGGAGTTTCTGTTCTATTAAATTAGAGAGAGAATAGAAAAAAATAACTTTATTATTCTATTGTTTCTTTCCCCTTTCTTTTCTTTTCTTTCTTTCTTTCTCTCTTCTCAAAACCCTTTGATCTTTTAAATTTCAATAGTAAAACATTAAAACAAAATATAATTGATATATATAGCATATAATAAAATGTATTAATACATACATTAATAAGATACAGCAATATAAATGATATTATAAAAGGCACCCGCCTTGTCATTTTTGTCGCCTAGGCGGGCACTTAATCGCCTAGGTGGGCGCCTAGTTGCTAAAAGTCAAGGCGTTTGGGCAAGGCGCCCAGACAAGGGCGCCTAGTCGCCTAGGCGATGCCTTGACATTACACTTCCTCAACCATAGTTGTTCGCAAGCCTATCAGCATAACATACAATTATATAAACATTGAGATGCTGTGCATCCTAGGAAAAAACCTTCCCTTCGTTTAATTCAATCATGCAAATTGCCCCCAATTATATTCTTCTCCCTCTCCGAGCATTTGAAGAATTAATTATCGAGAAAAATTCCTAGAAATTATAGCATTTTGGTGTACTACTTGCCGATATCATTATTTAAAAGAATAAATTTGCCTCCCTATTAGCAATCACTAATACGCAAGTCCTGCCTTCGCGCAGTAATGTAGCACAATCCTACAGGGTAGACATTCACTTTGATCATTTCAAGCAATACAACTTCTTCATTTACTGCATTCTACAAATCAATCATACGTGAAAGGTAATATTGAGTTGAGTTTTCTCATTTCTTCCCTCCCATGTCGGCAGAGAATGTCGTCAAAGAATTACCGGAAAGAAGAGGAGAAAACAGAAAAAGCGGCATACAAGCACAGAGATAAAGCATCAATACAACTAAACCCTGGTACGATCGGTTTGGCAAAGGAGCGGATCTAAAATTCAAGCATTTTTCAAAATGCAATAATTCACTCTGGTTACATTCTCTTAACCCTAGTTTCAGTATTGAAAAAGGAAAGGGGAGGGGGGAATACATTACGAGAAATCTCTTCGGCCGCAACAGCAGCGGCTCTCTGAAGATCTGAAAAAACGGAGAGAGGAGAAATTCCCCAAGCTCCCCATCGTCCCTTGGCTGGTGTTGGTTCTGCCTCTTTTTGCTTCTCTGCCGACTGTGCTTCGTCCTCCATTAAAATTTAAAACACGAATTCTAGTTCCCAAATTTAGCACTCTTTCCTGTTTTACGGTCTGCTGCGCCACTTCCAAGTTGTATCTAATTCGATCGCATCACAGAAAAATGGCGGTTTAATTTTCCGAGCTTTCTCAACATCGAAAAGAAATAAAGAATTCCCAAAAATGAAGAAATTTAAGAAAACCCTTTGGTGATTGAATGTTGCGACAACAAAGTAATATTACTCGAAAGTAACCGTCAGATTGGGATATTCTATCTTCTGATCCTATTGCCAAGATTTAGAACGTCGAATCCGACGGTTGTGATAAAGGGAAGCCCAATAAAAGGTGTTGTTTGGCTTGTCAACCACGTATCAACAAGACTCAGCATGACTCAAACGCAATGTATTCCTTAATTTTCTTGGACCCAACGACTAACGTGGACCGCCACGTCTTTTTGTTTTTCGTTTTCTATTCATTTTCTGTTTCTCATCCTCCACCTTGACCCTGATGGCTCGGTTTAAAAAACTTGCACATAAAGAACAGGTAGTTGGTACTTGGTATACCGACTAGTTATCAATTTATCATCTAATGTCCAAAAATTATTTCATAAGGCTGTATTTGATTGCAATGCAAATAAATTTGTACTGGTGCAAAACCATGGCAATGTAAATTTTAACCTATTTTTGTTTCAAAATTTACCTTATTTTGTTTGATTGCAATATAAATAAAGTAAATTAAGACATGAAACAGAATAAAGTAAATTTCAAAACAAAATTAAACAAAAATTTGCATTTTTACATTTGCACTCCCATGCATTTGTACAGGTGCAAATAAATTTGCACTACAGTCAAACATAGTGGCCAGAGAAGTTTGGAATTGTGGTAATGGGTGTTTCCCATGGTTTTATAGAAAGGCTTTTTGCATAAAAAGGTGATAGATAAGTTTGGTAAATCTATAAATTTAGTTATGTTTAGAAATTATTATTTTATTGATAAAATATTAAAAATTATTAAAAGATTAAATAATTGGACCAATGTAACACAGGTGTGTTACACTTAGGGGTGGATTCGAGCAAAACCGAGCCAAAAAGTATGAGGCTCGAGCTCGAGCTCGAGCTCGGCTTGCATCAAAAACTCATAAGCTCAGCTCGAGGTAAATTTGAGGAAAAATGTTTTATAAAAATAAAATATTATATATATAAAATATTTTTTATTTGATATTTAAAAATTAAGAATTATAATATTTTTATTATATATATTATTTTCTATAATTTTGTTATTTTCAAGCTTGGCTCGCGAGTCTTACGAGTCGAGCTCTATTAGGCTCGAGCTCAGTTGAAACCAAGACAAGCCGAGCTCGAGCAGCTCGTGAAAAGCTCGACTCATTGCCACCCCTAGTTACACTAAAACCTTCCCACAAACTATCCACACTATAGTGTGGATTATATGTGAAAAAGTACTATGGACGATACATTGGGGTGTGGCTCGTTCCTATCCACACTATTTTGTGGATAGGGACCATCCACACATAGCAAAACACCATATCTTGGAGTGCGAAATTGGCACCCCAATGACTGTTTTTACCATGTTTTGCACTTTATATATTTTGTATTTGTATTCTTACCAAACAGAGCCTTAGGCTTAATTTGAAAGGAATACAAATACAAATATGTACTCCACAAATGCATACAAAATAATACAAAATACAGAGTTTTGCACTCTACATATTTGTACTAGCGGGGACCCATGTGACGCACGGTGTTAAGCGAAAATTAAACAATAAAAATACATAGGAGTATATAATTGTTTTATATTTAATTTAACCTTTGGCGGATTTTCACTAATCCTTGAACAAGACGATTTGGTCAAATCGACCAAATTCGAGTGACAAACTCCTGACTTGACCAAGTCGATTTGGTTAGTGAAACAACCTACAACTGAACTGAACCAATCCTCGAACACCTAATTTCAACTAAATCAATAGTCTAATCTCTAATAATTATTGAAAATTTATAACAAGAATACACAATCATTGAAAATAAATTTATAATGAAAATATAATAGATATCTAATAATAATACAATAAATGCTGAAAATATACTAATAGCTTAATCTCAAATAAATACAATAAATGCTGAAAATACAATAAATTAGTCAATAAGTAGTGTAATCTCAAATAATAGTTTAATCTCTAATAAATATTAATCTATAAATTATAAAAAATATATATAACTACTAAAAATAAATTTCTTACAAAATATAATAAATACGATAAATTAAATTTCAAGAGTTAAATAATAGTTATTTAATCTCGAATAATTATTGATAATTTTCTGCTAAATAACAAAACAAAAATAGATTTATAATTAATTATTGAAAACATATTTATCAAAAAAATACAAATTACTAAAAAATAAAATAAATATTAATTTTAGTATATGCAAATATATAATGAATATACACTATTATTGTAAAATTATTACTAATAAGTATTATTTTTTTAAGTTATTTTCTATAATTATTAATTGATATAAGTGAAATTATTAAGTTATTTAAATAATTTTGTTATTTAATTTTTAAAGTATTAATTATTTATAGAACTCAATAATCCATAAAATGATAATTAGTACTATTATTACATAATTTGTTATTAATGCTGTAAAATATTAAATTATTATTAATATGAATATTATGAGATCTATTATAATTATTTTTCTACTTTTAAGAAATTTCTTAAATTTATTACATAAGTTTGTTATTGTTTAACTATTTAAAATTTAGTCATTTTAAATATTTTGTATGTAAATATTTAAGTAATATGTAAAATATTTAAAATTTGTCATTACTTGAATTTTATTTATTTTAATGTTACTACGTAATATTAATTTTTTATATAATTATTTATCTATTTTTAATGTTTTATTATTTAAGATATTTAGTTATTGAAAATAATGTTTTATTTTTTAATGTTAAACTTTTATTATTTGAATAACATTTAAATTGAATAATTCATGAAATTATAATTTATATTGTTAGTTTGTTACTACATAATTTCATGATGAATTTTGTAAAAATATAGAATTATCAATAATATGAATATTATTAAATATATTAAAATTAATTTTTATGTTTTGACTAAATATTTAAATTTAGTATATAATTTTGTTATAATATTTAAATAATTAAGAAAATTTTTAATTGAAATTTTCTTTAGATAAATATAGATAAAAAGTGGGGGAGAGGATAAATTGGAATTAGAGATAGTTTAGGAGAGAATCTCTCTAATAAATTAGAGATAATTTAAGAGATAAATAGGAGTTAGAGATAACTTAGGGGATAAATATGAATTAGAGTCAATTTAGGAGAAAGTAGGGGAAAGTGGTGTCACTTGGCTATACATTAGAAAAGCAAATCCATCTTTATTTTTGGTTAGTGGGCCGTATTGGGCTTGGGGTTTCAGGCCAGTGGGCCGGACCGGCATGGCCCACACTATCATGCCATGCCGCTAGTGGCCTACGGGCTAGCACAGCCTGGCACAACACATTATATATTAATAAAAAATGTTTTTTATTAATATATTATAATATATAATATTAATAAAATAAACAATTTTTTTTCAATTTTATTATACTATTTTATTTAATTATTACATATATAAGCAATTGTATATATCAAAATTCATATAAAATTAAAATTCTAAGTTTTTTTCAATGTTTTTAACTAAATAACTTTGGCCTGGCCCAAGGCTCGGCCCACGGACCAACCTTACTTGTGGCTTGACCTAGCTTTACAAGGGCCCGCATGGGCTCTGGCCATGGACTGTGCCGGTCCGACCTCCCAAAATATCCTAGGGGAGGGAGGCATGGCTCGGGATGGCCCATGGACCGCACGCGAGTTGTGCGGTGCTGGCCTCGCATGTCCTATTTTATACCTCTGTTAAAATATGTATGGTGCAAATAGTGCAAATTGCAAAATCATGTATTTTGTATTGAAAATCTTGTATTTCCACGGTACAAATATGTATAGTACCAATACATACAACATACTAAGTCTACCAGGTTTTTTAGGTTTGTAATTTGATGATAAATCTTTCATTTATTCATTTATTGGTTCCTTCTCAAAATATTTTGCCCCCGTCAATGAGAAAGGTTTAGCTGAATTTGATGGTCCTTCTTTTTATTGTCTATTGTATCAATCATTTTATTCCACACTAGTTAAAGTATATATGGCCCATAATCACTCAATCTCTTACTATTCAACAAATTGATTGGTCCTACAGCAGTTATCAAATTCAATTAATCCCCTCTACTTCAAAAATAACAATTTTAAACATCCTATATGAAATTATTATATGTCAATTATAAGAAACATACATGTATGGTGCATTCCAAATTTTTGCTACATATTCAATCAAAATTTCAACCAATCACATTAAAGATGTCACATGATATATTTTCTTTTCATTAGTTCACATTATATGAGGTGTGCTTTCACGTTTCACAAAATGCATTTATAAAGGCTTTAATAACGTAGAAAATATTACTCTGTCATTCCACTATATCATTATTCTGTTCATATTTTAATTATATTATAGCAATTTTGTTCATATATATATATATATATATATTAGTAAACATGTACGTGCATTTGCACGTGGCAATATCTCTAACACAAAACTATTTTCATGAGCAGTTTCTAAATGGTTATAAGTAGGCATTTTATGAAATGAGAGTAAAGGACATACATGTCCTCTTTATGACCATTGTATGCTTGGATAAGGTGGTAAAAATGTCCAATGAAAATTCCAAAAAGTAGGGGCTTTCGCTCTTTTATAGGTAGTATAGATATATAATATTTTCTTTTTCTTTTTTCTTTTTACATAATTGATTCATGTCTTAATTGGGTGAGTAGGTAAACCCACTCCAGCCCTATCATATCCACATACCAAAACCCTATATAAAAGGGCTAGATCTGTTTGTTTCTTTTCATTAGGTTGACCTTACACCAACCATAGCTTCATTATTGGTGCCATTCTACTTCCTCTAGCAGTAAAGTGACCCTTTGAGACTAGACGTTTCAACCATCCAAGCTATTAATGGGCTAAATATATATTATAAAAAAAATCTTGTTTTCAACTATGGTGGATTCGTAAATGTTGTGCTCTCACGACTTTAGTGTGATCAAAACTATTTT